GGAGTGATTCTTTGTGAAGGAAAATGGGGTTATTTATAGGTGTTTTTCAACACCTTGGGCCGGGTACCCGACCGGGTTAGGTGCTTACCCGACCGGGTCCGGTCAAAATCAGATATCCTCCACGTTCTGGCGATCTTCGGCACGTTCTGGTGTCCCGGGTCAAGTCTGACCCGACCGGGTCAAGTAGGGGACCCGACCGGGTCTGATGATTTTCCAGGCAGTTTCGGATTTTACATCAGACCCGACCGGGTGCATGGTATAACCCGACCGGGTTTGTGCTCCTGGGCACACTTATCACCTTTTTCTTCACTTCAAACTCTTCCTTTCCAACACCATAAATACTAACTCTACTTTCCAACTTACAAATGAAGATTAAAATACAATTACAACTAAAATCACATAAATGTTTACAAACTAAATAAAACGATAAACAATACACACAAATCAAACATAAAAACATACACTTATGCACTACTAATTAGTGCATATCAGAAGTAGACCTGTCTCTAAATTCAAAGCCCAATTGAAAAAGCAAAAACAAGATAGTGGCCTCTTAGGGTTGAAAAAAATGAACTTGAACTGTATTTGAGTGAGAACATTCTTGAGGAGGACAATGAATTTCATATATTAAGATGGTGGAAGCTTAATGGTGAGAGGTTTCCTATCCTATCTAGGATGGCAAGAGACATTCTTGCTGTTCCTATTTCCACAGTAGCTTCTGAGTCTACTTTTAGTACAAGTGGAAGGGTGTTGGATTGTTTTAGGAGTTCATTGAGTGCCAAAATTGTAGAAACACTCATATGTGCTCAAGACTGGTTGAGGATGTCCAACCAGCCTGTGTCAGTTGAAGAAAATATTGAGGAGGTTGACAGGCTGGAAACAGGTACTAACTTTAACATTTTTAGTATTCAGTATTTATATTTGAAGTTATTGCTAACTTGATTTTGTTTTCAATGCAGAATTGACTGAAGGAAATGTTGGTGGTGGCCCTTCTCTTGATCAGATAGCAGTAAAACTTATACTTTATCTTTTATATATGTAATTTGTTACTTCACTAATGAACATGCTATGATTCTGTCAATGTCCTGGTTGTAAATGCATAACCCTGCTGCTTTGATGGGAATTGGAAGTGTTGCTAATGCATTGGTAATGTGTGTGTGTGACAACAAGACATGGTAATGTTGTTTCACTCTATACTATTTGTTCCAGTGTTCCATATTTATTGCAATGATGATAGCTTCCACCAAACAATGAAATTAATGGTAGTTGGTGTTGATTATATTTCTATATAGTTTCAATGCCCCCATTAATAGTGAAGTGAATGCAAATCTGAGCCAAACTATGCCCCTACTACTTGCACTTTGCTGGAAATACTTTAATATGGCATTGTATCTGTATACTATTTATTCTAGTGTTCCATATTTATTGCAATGATGATTGCTTCCACCGAACAATGAATTAATGGTAGCTGGTGTTGATTTTATTTCTATATAGTTTCAATGCCCCCATTAATAGAGAAGTGAATGCAAATCTGAGCCAAACTATGCCCCTGCTACTTGTACTTTGCTGCAAACACTTTAATATGACATTGTATCTGTATACTATTTGTTCCAGTGTTCCATATTTATTGCAATGATGATTGCTTCCACCAAACAATAAAATTAATGGTAGCTGGTGTTGATTATATTTCTATATAGTTTCAATGCTCCCATTAATAGTGAAGTGAATGCAAATCTGAGCCAAACTATGCCCTTGCTACTACCACTTTGCTGGAAGTATTTGAATATGATATTGTATCTGTATACTATTTGTTCCAATGTTCCTTATTTCTGGAAATGATGATACCTTTCACCAAGTAATGAAATTGATGGTAGCTAAGTAGCTTGTGCTGGTTCTATTTCTATCATTCTATGTACTTTCTTATGCCCCCATTTCTACCAAGTAATGAAATTGATGGTAGATCAATAGTTTACTTATTTCTGGCAATGATGAAAGCTGCTACTCTGCTACCCTTCTACACTTCTACCAAGTTGCAAAAACAAATGAGTTGGTGTTGATTCTATTTCTATATAGTTTTTAATGCCCTCATTTTTTGTGAAGTGACGCTAAACCTGAGCCAAACCTGATTGCATTTAGTATTCATCCTGTCATACTCATACATTTTTTTTGAAGTGAATCTAAATCTGAAACCTACACACTACATTTCTACTAATTTTTTAACTTGTGATGTACCTAGGAACATATTCAATGAGTATTTTGTTGCTGGTCGGCTACACACATGGAATGATGGAACTATGGAAGATTGGAAGAAGGAACTATATTCAAGATCTGCCCCCATTAAAATGTTGAATGTTAAATTTTTTGTTGCTACTTACTATTTTGGACCTTTAGATTACTCAAAGTCTATTCTCAAACTGTATTATGTATAAGTGTTTAGGTAACAACTGTATAACTAATTAACTGTGCTTGGAGTTGTACAAAGTAAAAGTACAAACTCTATTATTTTGCTACTTGTTAGTTGTTACTTTTATTGTAATGTAATGTTGTATTGTTTCACAAACTTATAATTTTAATGTGATAACTGATGTTATTTAATGGTTTTTTATCAACCCGAATGACCCCGAATATCCGATTCAAACCGACCGGAATCCGAAATTGGGCAACCCGAACAGCCCGACATTTTTATAGAACAGGGTAGGGTTTTAAATTCCTAACCCGAAAACCGACCGGGTATGCCAAATCTTCACCCGTCCTACCCGAACCCGTCCGATGCTCTCCCCTAGACGCCATATTGATCCAAATGAATCTTTTTTTATTTCTTACAGAACGGATTTTAAACAGGCATGATGACGAGTATATCCATAACAGCTATTTGTTATTTCCTTGTGATCCATAACTTCATCCTCCGCAAAGGAGTGGTGGCGGACTTGAAGGCCGACAGAGAAGCTCTTCTAGAGTTTCCATCTGCGGTGGGGGGGGGGGGGGGGGGAGAGAGAACTGGGCTGGAGCAGGGAGGCCCAAATATGTAGTGACTGGGCTGGCGTGAAATGCCGCGACAGCCGGGTAGTGGAACTGCCGAACTGCATCTGCCGGGAATGGGGCTGAGTGGGGGCATACCGGAAAACACCATAGAACGGTTGGACGCGTTGAGGGCCCTGAGCCTTGATAATAACTCTTTCACGGGATCGCTCCCGTGGAAGCTGATGAAGCTGAAGAGTTTGAACGTGAGCAACAATGGCTATGAGGGCTCCATTCCGGCGTCACTGTTGAGGTTTCCTCATCCGTCCTTTGCGGGGAATGCTTTACTAATGAATAATCAGCCGCAAGGTTTTAAATAGCCGTAGCGGCAGCGGTAGCGGTAGCGGTAGCGGTCATCGCGGTAGCGGCCTGTAGCCGACTGTAGCGGCTGCAGCGGCGTGAAATATTTTCAATTGCGCAAAACATAAATGTATTTTTTCACATCATTCACACAACATCAAATTTTGAGTTTCACTCCATGCATCACCATTAATGTATTTTTGACATCATTGACACAACATTTACACATTTACACATCAAACAGTTCGTGATGTACTGCCAGAAATGTCAATAGCGGGTTGTAGCGGGTGGCGTAGCGGATTTTTCCCGTGATTTGGAAATCACACACAAATAGCGGGCCGTAGCGGTAGCGGCCCCTACCACGACCGCTATATAGTGGCCGCTATAGCGGTAGCGGGCCGCTATTTAAAACCATGATCAGCCGTGCCGCCCTCGCCGCCTTCTGATGTCAAAGAAAAAGAAAGACAAACTGGTGAAACTTGTTATTGGATATATATTTACTGCAATTTTTATTTGTGGAGTAGTACTAGCAATTCGGTGTTACCATCAACACAAAGCAGGTAAAGATATTATTGGAAAGATGTGTTAAAAATTGGATTAAATGGTTAATTTGGGACATTATTTTGTGTGGAGTTCACTTCCGATTTGGGTCGGGTCAAAATAGTTTCAGATTCCTCTTGTTAAGGGCTACAATTCGATATATAGTACTGATGTGAGTTTTTTATCACTAATAATAGGTAGCACAGTAGCAGTATATGGCAATATAACTACGAGTATCGTCTCCACAGGGATAAAAAAAGAGAATCAAGAATTAAATAAATTCTGTGATTAAAAAATGTGATGTGCGTGATTTGGATTTTCGGAAAATTAACTAATACGAAAAAGCGATTTTTTTAACCCGGAAGGTAAACCACCCATTGATGGGGCAAATGTTGGGGAACATTTGTTAGTATTTTATTAAAATAAAAATGTAGTACAAAATGAGAGGGGGACTAGTAGACCAAAACCTCTCAATAGAGGCATACCTCTGGAAAATACATGGAAGATAAAAAAAGAAGAATTTTGGGGGGATAGGACTTTACCCAAAAATTAAAAATACATGAATTAAAAGCACAAAACAGGGAAACCAAACAAATCAGCATAGTAACTATTTTTAATCTGTTTGGGTAGCTGACCTACCTGATTAAAAAGAATAATTTGGGCCGATTCCAATGTCACAGCAGCAAGGTGATGAGCCGGCTCATTCCCCTTCCTCAAGACATGTCTAAAAGTAAAGCCCTTGTCAATTGCCTTTGTCCTGAACTTAGAAAGATTGCCTGAATCATTCAAAACCTTTGAAATCGCTTGAGTTGCATCGCTTTCCACCTGAATATCTGCAAAGCCGTCCTCCAAAGCAATCTCTGAAGCAAAAATCAATGCTCTAAGCTCCGCTTCTTCCCCAGAATACGCCTGGATGCTGAAACTAGCTGCCCAGACTAGCTCGCCAGCACGTTTTCTGAGAGTAGCCCCTCCCGGTTGCACAACCTGGTTTGAATGAAGCATCAATATTTAACTTAAAGCTTTGCTTAGGTCTTCTCCATTTTATAACCTGGACACCAAGACTATTGAACTGAAAATGAACCGAGATAAGTTTTTTCATTGAATAGAAAACTTTCCACTGTTCGACGTTTGATTTTAGTCAAGGTATAGGCCCAATTCTGAGTGTATAGCTTTATTTGAATAATCAGGTGTTCTGGATTAGGGGTAGAACCCAAACCCCAAACATATGCTGAGTAAACGTAACCTTCCAAATATGCCAGGTAATGATATCAGGCATATTGTGTTCAAAAATATCACCCACTGTTTTTGAACCAGCTTCAATCCACCACAGTATCATAATTTGCCTAATTGAAGCATTGGATGGCATTTTTAGCTCAAAACCATTCATAAAATACCGCCATATTTTCTTAGCATAACAACATCCAAAAAAGACATGGTCAGTAGTTTCAAAATTATTCCTACACAGGGGACGACATCTTGAATGTTGTAGAATGATTTGGATCCTCTGAAGATTGTCACAAATAGGCAGAAAGGAATTCAAAAGTTTCCAGAGAAAAATCTTAATCTGCATTGTTTGATTCTTATGCCATATGTGCTTATCAGTGAACTAGCGTTTGATCACGCAAGACGTGAGAGCGTTTGCCCAATATAAAGTACGTAATGTTTTTTTCGTAAAACACTATTACATGCGGACTGTTAGGAAGTTCTCTAAATAGGTAATGAAATATCCTATATTTCGTAATACCCAAATCAGCTGTATTAGCTGATCATGCTGATATTTATGAATTTGTGACTGAAGTCGCTGGATTGGCTAATTCTGCTGATTTATAAAAAAAATATTTAAAATATATTTTATTAATTAAATAGAGGAAAAAATATATGACAAAATAGCTAAAATAATCATCTACAGTTAGTTCAGCCAATACAGCCAGAAAAGTAACTACAACCTAACTTTTTCTTATTATTACACAATCCAGGTCGCGAAATCAAAAGTTGTGTTGGGATATATTATCCCGGCCTATTACTGTTCAGGAGCCCAAAACATTATCCAGTACGGAGCCCGAGCAGCTAGGTCCATTTCGGCCCATTCCGGCCCACTTTGGCCATTAGGCCCGACATCGGCCCGTTTGGCCCATTAGGGTGGAGAGCCCCTTCTCCCCTTCCCCTATTTATAGGAGGTTTTCCCTCCATGTAAGGGGGTTTTTCCTTCTTCCTTCTTCCTTTAGAATAGTTTTGCAAGATTCCATGAATGGAGCTCAAATTGTACTATGTAATGGTGAGGAGAGTCTAATGAGAATGAGAGGGCTTGGACATTAGCCTAAAAAGTCCCGTGGTTTTCTCCCTTTCGGGTTTCCACGTAAAAACTGAGTTGTTCATACACATTTATACATATATTTACTATATCGTGTTGGATTAAACTCAACACTGGCGCCGTCTGTGGGAATCAGTTCAAAAAGACTAACCGTGTTCTTCAGCTTCGACAACAAACGTGAGACGAAGAACTGATTTTCAACAAAAAGAAATAAAGAAAATTGATACCAGATGGACTGGTTTCAGCAAAAGGAAGAAGGGAAAAACAAATGGTTCTGGGAAGTCCAAATTTGGATTTTTTCCAGATCTATTTTTTTTGAAGTCGCCGGAGCCGCCCCCGCCGGCATGGAACTCCTGAGGCGTCCTGCGGTACCGGGTGGAACTCGCTGCAGCGTTACAGTCTTGGCGTCCCGATCTGTAAAAAAAAAAAAAACTCCGCCTGTAACGTAGTAGTTCGTCGCCAACAGCGGGGTCTGCCGCCGGAGCTGCCGCGCCGCCGCTCGACATCAGCCGTCAACCGCAGGTCGCTCGTCCACCTGCTCGGAGGAGGTATAGTCCGAGGCTCAGTAGATCTCCTGACGAAACCTCGCCCTCTGGCCGGCCTTGTCTTGCCGCGACCACCGTCTCCACCGGCGGAAGGTGGCCGGCATGTGCGGCCTGCCTCTGAGTCAATAGGGAGGGTGTTCTGCCTTTCCCAAGAGATGTACTCCGCGTAAAGGTTTTGGCCAAGAGCAGACCACGTCTGCAATTTGAGGCCAAGCAATGAGGGCCACTTTCCTTGGAGTAATTTTACCAAGTCAAATTGGGGAATTCCATTAAGCCGAGGCCCTTGGTTTGGACGTACGTATACTTTGGACTCTGGAGTGACTGAATAATGGAAGTCTTTGGCTCTTTAGCAAGGTTGACCAGGTCAAACAAAAAGGAATTCAATCAACTCCATAAATTTTCACTTGGCCGAGCATCGATGCCAAAAAAGAGCTAAGTACCACTTACTCATCCTTTTACCAATTAAAGTGCGTGATTATTTGTAGAGTATGCTTCGTACTTATTAACGAAGTAGAAATATTGCTAGTATTTTTATCACCATTATTTATTAGGGAATAAAATCTCCCGAAATAAATAATGTCGAGCAAAATCCAAGTGAGTAAAGCTCTAGTGATAAGTTATTTTTAACCATCATTTTAATTAATGACTGGTTGTTGTGGGCCCGTTGGCCCGCTCCTGGTCGGCTTTAATTAGCGAGCGGAGCATATCTGAATGGCCTTTGATAGGATAATATCATTGCTATTACCTGTTACATCACTATTATTTATTAGGGATAAAATGTCCCGAATTAAATAATGTGGAGCGAAGCTCTGGTGATAGTTGGTTCAGCCAACATTTTATTGAATATTTAATTTCTTGTGGGCCCGTTGGCCCGCTCTCGATCAGCTTTAATTAAGCGAACGGAGCGTATCCGAATGACTTATGGTAGGATAATACTATTATTACTACCCGTACATCACTATTATTTATTAGGGATAAAAATGTCCCGAGGTTAAATAATGCAGAGCGAAGCTCTAGTGATAATTGGTTCAGCCAACTTTTTTATTAAAAATTTAATTGTTGGGGGGTTCGATTAGCCCACTCTTGATCGGCTTTGATTAGCGATCTGAGCGTCTCCAGAGGGTAGTGTCCCGATGACGCGTTTTAATCTGGGGGTACGCAATAGTCCGCACGGCACCAAGTGCTCGAGCGACGATAGTACCCTAGTACCACATGCGCCACTAGGCGAAGTGACTATTGCCAAACGTGGCCTGTGGGGCCCGAGGGCACCAAAGCACTCAACCTCGTTTTTCCGAGGGCAGTGCGACCAACTTGGGTCTGAGTTTGAAAACTCACAGACCGATGAATATCTCTATGTGACGTTCGGCGGGCTGCTAATTGGCCCCACCGCGAGCTGCTACGTCCATTAACCCCGCACGATCAGCCGGACCGAGGGTCACGATGGCCCGTAGGCCGGTAATCGTGGATGTTAAAGACTCCGCCGTGCGGACGGTTGTGTGTGCATATTTATTGACGGGCCGTGCGGCCCGTTACCATGCTTATTGCGCAGATGAAGCCGCTCGACGCGCTCGAGCGAAATGATTAAAAGACGCTCGGCCCGAGTCTGGAAGACGTTCAGGGCCAGCTAAAGAGGAGACCATCACGGCTGAGGACCGTGAGACGAGCATCTCCGCCCCAGAGACCGATGGCCTAGGAGAGAACACCTAGAGGCCGAGGGTCTAGAGTGGTCTACCATGGCGGGGGACCGTGAGACGATCATCCATCATTTAGAGGCCGAGGGCCTAGAGGAGACCATCACAGCCGAGGGCCGTGAGACCATCCTAATTTTCAGGTCGGCCTCTCATTGCCGACACCATCATATCACGACCGGCCTCTCGGCATGGCGTGATTATCATATTTGAAGACCGGCCTCGTCCCCGCGCTGCGCGGATGATGACCGTTGCTTGGTTCTTTCATGACGGCCTCTCATTGCCGACACCATTATATCACGACCGGCCTCCCGGCTCGGCGTGTTTATCTTTTGAAGACCGACCTCATCCCCGCACTGCGCGGATGGGAGCCGTTGCTAGATTGCAGGTCGGCCCCACAGTGCCGACACTATCACATCATGTTCGGCCTCTCGTCGCCGACATCATCATACCACGACCGGCCTCTCGGCTCGGCGTGCTTATCTTCTGAAGACCGGCCTCGTCCCTGCCCCTCGCGGACGAGGGCCGTTGCTTGATTCTTTCAGGTCGGCCTCTTACTGCCGACACTGTCATATCATGCTCGGCCTCTCGGCACGACATATTTACCTTTTTGAAGACCGGTTTCATCCCCGCGCTGCGTGGATGAGAGCCGTTGCTCGGATATATCGACCTGATCGGACACTATTGTCATCTCCTTATCAAGACCGACTGCTCAGCGACATTATGATCATTGTATATCGGCTCCCAATGCCGACCTTCTTGAGTTAGCGATCGGGCTCACCCCTCCCTTCAGGGGGGTGACCTTCGCCTTCGCACGACGACCAGCATTTCCATCGCCTCGTCATTATATTTGTTCGCCATGCCACCACCATTATGTGTGACAACCTGTTCCTCCTTGCGATGTCTACGGATACCGAACGTCTCCTCGAAGTAGGGACGCCGGTAGGACCAAGGACCAAGGACGAACGAAGCACCAGGGAATCTCGATGCAGATAAACCTGTTCCTCATTGTGATGTCCGTGGATACCGAACGTCTCCTCGAAGTAGGGACGTCGGTAGGACCAAGGACCAATGACGAACGAAGACTACGATTGCCTCCCTCAAAAAAAAAAAAAAAAAAAAAAAGAAGATGGGGAGAAGAGGAGGGTAGCTCCTATGTAGAAGGGAATCTTGCCCGGGTGTGCCAGATCTTCTCCAACCGCCGAAGACGAACGCCTCTCGATGTAGAGGTTAGTAGAGACGCGGAGGGGGCTAGACGAACCAAGGGAGCCTGCCAAGATAAACCTGTTTATCCCACAAATGACCATGGATCGATGGACGTGGGATAACAAAGTCGGGGACCCGTGAGGGTAGACCTGTTCGTCCCTGCGAGTTCCTTGGGTACCGAACGTCCTCTTCGAAGCAAGAGACGCCGGTAAGACTAAAAGGACCACGGACGAACGAAAAAAGGGGGAATCTCGATGTAGATAAACCTGTTCCTCCTTGCGATGTCGGCGGACACCGAACGTCTCCTCGAAGTAGGGACGCCGGCAGGACCAGGGACCAAGGACGAACAAAGACTAAAAGACTCCGAAAAAAAAAAACAAAAAAATGCCAGAAGAGCATGGAGCAAAGAATGATTTTATCCCTCGGCGCTATTGGCCGGGAAGTACAAACTGAAAAACATATGTAAAGAATAATTACAAAACTTAAGTACGAAGAATGAAGTGGCCGACGACGATCGGCTAACATCAGGCTTTCTTTTGCCGTGGACGACGAATATCAGCTCCCCAGATCAGACAGAGGGACGACGCCCAAGTCCACCCTTCCTCCCAGGATGAAGTCCTGACAGACGATCGGCCTCTCAGCGCCATCGTGTCTCTTTCACGTTCGGATCGCCCCATTCCCTCCAGGATGGCGACGAACGTCTTATGCCGTACGATCGGCCCCTCAGCGCCATCGTACCTGGCTTCACGGTTCGGCTCGCCCATTCCCTCCAGGATGGCGACGACCGTCTTATGCATCACGATCGGCCCCTCAGCGCCATCGTGTCTCTTTCACGTTCGGATCGCCCCATTCCCTCCAGGATGGCGACGAACGTCTTATGCCGTACGATCGGCCCCTCAGCGCCATCGTACCTGGCTTCACGGTTCGGCTCGCCCATTCCCTCCAGGATGGCGACGAACGTCTTATGCCGTACGATCGGCCCCTCAGCGCCATCGTACCTGGCTTCACGGTTCGGCTCGCCCATTCCCTCCAGGATGGTGACGACCGTCTTATGCATCACGATCGGCCCCTCAGCGCCATCGTGTCTCTTTCACGTTCGGATCGCCCCATTCCCTCCAGGATGGCGACGAACGTCTTATGCCGTACGATCGGCCCCTCAGCGCCATCGTACCTGGCTTCACGGTTCGGCTCGCCCATTCCCTCCAGGATGGTGACGACCGTCTTATGCATCACGATCGGCCCCTCAGCGCCATCGTGTCTCTTTCACGTTCGGATCGCCCCATTCCCTCCAGGATGGCGACGAACGTCTTATGCCGTACGATCGGCCCCTCAGCGCCATCGTACCTGGCTTCACGGTTCGGCTCGCCCATTCCCTCCAGGATGGCGACGACCGTCTTATGCATCACGATCGGCCCCTCAGCGCCATCGTGTCTCTTTCACGTTCGGATCGCCCCATTCCCTCCAGGATGGCGACGAACGTCTTATGCCGTACGATCGGCCCCTCAGCGCCATCGTACCTGGCTTCACGGCTCGGCTCGCCCATTCCCTCCAGGATGGCGACGACCGTCTTATGCATCACGATCGGCCCCTCAGCGCCATCGTGTCTGGCTCACGTTAGGGTCGCCCATCCCTTCCAGGATGGCGACGAACGTCTCTTATGCAGCACGATCAGCGCCCCAGCGCCATCGTGTCTGGCTCACGTTAGGGTCGCCCATCCCTTCTAGGATGGCGACGAACGTCTCTTATGCAGCACGATCAGCGCCCCAGCGCCATCGTGTCAGGCTCACGTTAGGGTCGCCCATCCCTTCCAGGATGGCGACGAACGTCTCTTATGCAGCACGATCAGCGCCCCAGCGCCATCGTGTCTGGCTCACGTTAGGGTCGCCCATCCCTTCCAGGATGGCGACGAACGTCTGTTATGCAGCACGATCAGCGCCCCAGCGCCATCGTGTCTGGCTCACGTTAGGGTCGCCCATCCCTTTCAGGATGGCGACGAATGTCTCTTATGCAGCACGATCAGCGCCCCAGCGCCATCGTGTCTGGCACACGTTAGGGTCGCCCATCCCTTTCAGGATGGCGACGAACGTCTGTTATGCAGCATGTCTGCCTCTCGGCGCTGACATGCTCGAGTTCTCATTGAGAGCTACCGCTCCTATCACATCTTGCATTCCCTCTCTCATACATTGCACTCATACATTACATGCATTCATGCATCATACCTCATACATTCATACATACACACGTGCATCATGTTTTGACAGTACCGCGACGTCGGTTTATAGATGCATGGACCTCTAAGCTTCTCCGTTGGAAAGCTCGAGTCAGAGTCCTTTACTCTCGCCTGATGCATTCAGGGGGAGCGTGCCCGTGGAGGAGCACCCTTCGCCCAACCCCGTCGGGAACGGGGGTGCCCCACCGGCAGATTACGTTCAGGAGTGTGGACATCCACTCATATATTATGATTATTCGAAGACACAGGTTCCAGCTAGACCGAGGTAAAGCGCAGGCAAGAGTATATTTTCTCGAGCAGATTCGCACGCTCACTACTCAAGAAACTGGGGGACTTGTGTTGGGATATATTATCCCGGCCTATTACTGTTCAGGAGCCCAAAACATTATCCAGTACGGAGCCCGAGCAGCTAGGTCCATTTCGGCCCATTCCGGCCCACTTTGGCCATTAGGCCCGACATCGGCCCGTTTGGCCCATTAGGGTGGAGAGCCCCTTCTCCCCTTCCCCTATTTATAGGAGGTTTTCCCTCCATGTAAGGGGGTTTTTCCTTCTTCCTTCTTCCTTTAGAATAGTTTTGCAAGATTCCATGAATGGAGCTCAAATTGTACTATGTAATGGTGAGGAGAGTCTAATGAGAATGAGAGGGCTTGGACATTAGCCTAAAAAGTCCCGTGGTTTTCTCCCTTTCGGGTTTCCACGTAAAAACTGAGTTGTTCATACACATTTATACATATATTTACTATATCGTGTTGGATTAAACTCAACAAGTTACATGTTTGGTGAAAACGTTGGCTGATAAGCCTGATAAAACGAATAACATGGTCAGCAAATGGGCTCTTAATCTAAGTGAATCCAAATACATAAACAACAACAACATCCAAGCCTGAATCCAAATACTAACAAAACTCTTACTCTTTCAAATAGGAGTTTACGTAATGAAAAGTCTCACTCTTTCAAGTATGAGTTACGTGATTGAAGTAATTTAGAAGTTATATGGGATAAATTGAATTTCTCTAAAAGGCTAAGTTCTTGTCATAAGTTAATTAAAAATGAGGTAAACACAAAATTATATTAAACCTAAGGTTCACTAAAAAGTTAAACATACACAGAGGACTAAAAAGTTTGATATTTTGTGAAACATTAAAATACTCGTATATGATTTTTTTATGAATTTAGGGTCAATGGTGTAGTAGTTTATCATCTAAATAACTTAAAAAAAAATCCTTTAAAAAATAACTTAAAAATGAAATAAAGAGAACAAAACAACAACAAATCATAGTGACGGTTGAACACTTGAACTACCGTTACTTTAGCTAACGGAAGTGAAGGATAGTTTTGACCATATAAAATTATGACCCATTAATTTCATTGAAGAGTACAAGTATCAATGCATATAAAAGGACACAATATAGGGGTACTAATTGGTATTCATAATTATAATGTTTTTAGAAGTGATTGACTTTGTGATGAAACGGTTAGCAACACAGGGGGGAAATGCGAAATAGTAAAGTGCACAACGATTTAACGAGGAAAAATCCCTTGGCTTAGAGGGATTAAAAAACCTCGACCTCTCTCAGAAGAATTTTAAACAACTTCACTAAAAAGCCTTTGAATGATTATAAGTGAAACTCTCCTAGTCTACCCTTTATCCACCCCAACTCTATCCTTTCTAGGAAGAGTTATGTATCTCTACCTTGCGGGTAAAGAGCCTCTCAGCTTTACAACAAAGCTCGCACAACACACTTAACCCAACCCGAGGAAGCTACACTTAGCTAGTCCTCAATAACCCAATTACAATGTAAGAAGAGAAAATGGAACTCTATCTAGAACTCCGTGAGCAGGTTCAGATCACTTGGACTTGGTATTTCTCTCGTGTATATCACTTTAATATTTTCTCCGTTAAGCGCTCTCTTCCTTTGATCTTTCGCCAATTATATAGCTTTATCTGTGACGTTCGTTGGCTCCTCTTTCCTTAGTTGGATACTTGGACTTGCCTTGATAATTTTTTAATTGTTTTCCTTTCATGATATTTTCCATATCCGAGCTCAACATATATAAAACAGCCAAATTAAGATATCCAAAATATCATAATCATATATTCAAAGTAACCTATCAATCACGCAATTAAGAAAATATACTCGTCTCCATTCAAATCATGTGTGATTAATGTGGGGTTATAAGCTATTTGAATTAAGTACCAAAGAGAGCAAGCTTTGGTCAAACCTCAAAAAGGTAATATAAATAAGAATGCAACGGCCATAATATGGATTCCCTTTAAAAATCAATTTCCTTTTCTAAGTGGATGCACTCATTAAAGAACCTTTCCTTAGAGATATTTAATTAATATTTCTCCTAAGGGTAATTTCATTTCAAATGAGTAAAGAGTCAAATTGGTCCTGGAAGTTGCATAAAAAGGGTCAAATAAGTCCTTACTGTCCGGTCGTCGCCATTTGAGGCAGTTCCCGGTGAAATTTTTTGATGAAATTTTTTGAACATTTTATTCATTAAGTCTAGTTTACTCATACCAAATTTTAGCTAACAATTCAATAGGGAAGGCATTCAAATGAATTCTTGAAAATTACTGCGCTTTTAACTGCGCAGTTATCTTCAAGAATTCATTTGAATGCCTTCCCGATTGAAGTTTTAATTGAAATTTGGTATGAGTAAACTCGACTTAATGAATAAGATGCGCAAAAAATTTCATCAAAAAATTCAACTAGGAACCACCCCAAATGGCGACGGCCGGACAGAGTCTCCTATATACGGACTTATTTGATGATTTTTATGCAACTTCGAGCACCAATCTGATCTTTTACTCCATTTCAAATCAAAAGAGAATTCAGATCATGCAGGCAACGTTCACTTTTATTATAAAGCATCAAGAATCCCTATAAAGATTAATTTATGGTCAACCATTTCAATTAATGCTACGTATATCAGGCATACATTTCATTTTAAACTCAACCATCCACGGTTGCCACGGAAGCTATCAAGCAATTAATTAAAGAAAGTGCTTAATAGATGCTTCAAGTTGTTGTGTCTTTCCTATATGTACATTGGACACAAATTAATTGGATGCATTATATTTTAAGTTTATTTGCTTAGCTATAATTTTTGTTATTGTTCCCTTAAATCAAGGGTTAAGTTATGTTTTGTATTTTGAGAGAGGTTTTGGTTTGGTCCCCCTCTTGTGTATCATGCATTTTCATTTAATAAAATTTCAATATTTCAATAGAAAATGTGTGACAATTTTATTACCTCACAGCAATTCATTGATTTGATAGTATAGATGACAAAATTTCAATATCTTGAATTGTCACTTTAAATTATTTTTTGTTGACAATACGCGATATTGTCATTTATTGTTTCAAGTATAGATGACGAAAGTCATACATAAGTGACAAAACATAAACTTAAAAGTGACACATTAGGCCGGCGTCACTATAAGTGATCAGTAATTGTTACGATGAGCTAAAATGCCATAAAAAATGACAGTATTGTTGACAATACGCGATATCGTCATTTATTGTCTCAAGTATAGATGACGAAATTCATATATAAGTGACAACAAAATCGACTTAAAAGTGACCCATTAGGCGTCACTAAAGGTGATCAATAATGGTTACGATGAACTAAATCGTCATAAGAAATAACTATATAGTGACGAATTCAAAAATCGTCGTTTATATCTTTTGCCACGGAGCTACAATGACGATCACTGTGAAAATCTTAATTCGTCACCAAAAAAGTTTGAGTGAAAAAAAAAAGAACTTTATGTGACGAATTTTGTCATCTTGTTTTGTCAAAATTCTTGTAGTGATTAAACTATACGATTAAGATGTTTTTCTCTTTGACGGATTCGTTTTTTGCTGTTTTGATGAACAACTACACCATATGTTTATGGCTTCTTATAATATTATGTTTATACCTCTTATATGAATACATGATTGACATAAATTATTTTTATTTTATCATTTGTACTACCAATAGTTCCAGGAATTACAAAAACAATTATTATACTTTTCCGGCGCCTAGTCGGAGCCTAGGCGCTAGGCGGTGCTCCGCCGCCTGACTAGCGCCTATCGAGTTCTAGAACACTGGGTGTAGCTGGATGAAGATGACCCGAAATGGCGATTTACGGGCTATTATATATGTAATTATATATGGTTTCCCTGAACAGAGTAGAAGACGGGATTCTTGGGAGTTAATCAAACAGCTTTCGCAAGTGGCAGATAAACCATGGCTCATCATGGGAGATTTTAATGATATACTCTCAGATTCTGAGAGGCGAGGTAGACTGCCAGTCTGCCACAACCCTAGTGACTATTACGAGGGTTTAGTGACGTGGTTCATAGCAGCGGCTTGTTGAATGTACCTTTTGAAGGGTATCAATGGACATGGGAGAGGGGTCGGGGAACTCCAAACTCCACCTCCCTAGCATTCTGATTAGCGAATCAGTACGGAATTTGAGTGACAAGAATGCTTAGCTTATGAGTACGAAATTATGCGCTTGTTTTCAACGATAATCCATCCAGCTCGGATACCAAATGATAAATCCCTGGTCTAACTGCTACAAATTAAACTGACAAGAATGCTTAAGTGGAAGAAGAACGTAATTGGGAAGGAGAAAACGTGATTCTAAAGGCTGAGACCATCCTATGAGAAAATATGATTGTGGGAATAATAGCTTACCCTATTGGGTGCCTGAGCCTTATATTTATAATAAAACAGAGTTATGAAGAATAACAGAGTAATCCCTAAATATTACATTATTACACCCCCTCAATTTGTGCAGGGGAAATCACGTGCAAATTGGAACGTAAAAATTCAAAACGCTGACTAGACAAGTTCTTGGTGAAAATATCAGCTAACTGCAGCTGTGTAGGAATGTGCTTCACCACAAGATCTCCATGTGCTACTCGTTCACGAACGAAATGATAGTCAATTTTAATATGCTTACTACGATCATGCTGAATAGGATTAACTGCCAAATATGAAGCTGAGACATTATCACAAAGAAGCTGCACTGGTGTCGAAATAAAGATGCCCATATCTGCCAACAGGGAGCGTATAAAAAGTGTGTCCTGAACCGTGTACGCTATAGCCCTGTACTCAGCTTCAGTAGAAGACTTTGATACCGTCGGTTGTTTCTTGGATCGCCATGAGATTAAATTTGAACCAAGAAAAACCGCATAACCTGTGGTGGAACGCGAGCTGTCAGGACAGCCTGCCCAATCTGCGTCAGAGTAAGCTGTAACAACTGAGATGTTTTTCTCTGCGCGTAACCATAAGCCATGAGTGTTGGTACCCTGTAGATACCTGTAGATTCTCTAACTGCAAAAAGGTGAGTAGTACGTGGAGCATGCATAAACTGAGACACAAGGTGTACAGCATAAGTAATATCAGGTCTAGTAATAGTGAGATGATGAAGAGCACCTACCATACTACGATACTCAGTAACATCAGATAACAGTTCCCCATCTGTGAGTGAGAGAGTGGTGCGTGAAGGTAGGGGTGTACGAACAGGTTTGACAGTATGAAGATGAAAACGGCGTAAGAGATCAGATATGTATTTAGCTTGTGACAAGAATAAGCCTGTAGGTGTACGCTTAGCTTGAATACCCAAAAAATAATGGACATCCCCTAAATCCTTCATGGCAAACTGATTAGATAAGGTATGTATGACAGAGGAAACAAAGGAAACAGAAGAGCCTGTAATAATGATATCATCCACATATAAAAGAATATAGACTACCTGAGAATCAGTACGATAAACAAACATGGATGAATCAGACCTGCTTTGGGAAAAACCACGACTCAACAAAAAACCACTGAAGCGATGAAACCAAGCCCGTGGAGCTTGTTTCAACCCATAAAGAGCCTTACGAAGGCGACAAACATGATTAGGATAGGAGGGATGAACAAAACCCTGAGGTTGGCGCATGTAAACCTCCTCAGTTAAAACACCATGCAAAAATGCATTTTTCACATCTAACTGACGAACAGACCAGCCCAAAGAAACGGCAACAGATAAAACAAGACGAACAGTAGTCGGCTTAACAACAGGACTAAAAGTTTCAGTGAAGTCAACACCAGCCTGTTGTTTAAATCCCTGAGCAACTAAACGGGCTTTATGCCGCTCAACAGATCCATCAGAACAATATTTTGTCTTATAAATCCACTTACAACCAACCACATTTTTAGTAGAGTCCCAAGGTACCAAATCCCAAGTCTTATTATTAATCAAAGCATTAAATTCATCTGCCATGGCAGCCCGCCAAATAAAACTTTTGTTTGCCTGTGTAAAACAAGTAGGATCATCCGGGGGAGATAAGACACTGAGAGTAAAAATACTTTTGGGTTTGAAAATGCCATCCTTTGCGTGTGTACGCATCGGATGAACATTTACCGGAGCAGATGGAGTCGGGATGACAGAAGCCGAGGACTGGGAAAAGGTCTGACTGTGAGAACTGGTATGGGAGGCATTAGAACCAGCAGTAGGTGGTGTAGTGGGGCTGTCTGGGTGATTGGTGAGAAGCAGATGTTGGCTGGGTGATGTCAGGAGTGTGTCTAAGCTACTGGGTGAGGAAAGGTGACTACTGGGGGAGTTGACTGCAGTGGTGGGGTCCATATGTGACTGGTTGGGTGTATGACAGACCGAGGGAGTGGAGCTTTGGGTTGTGGGGAAGGCAGTTTGTGGAGCTGGCAAAACTGGTATGTGGGACGGCTTAGGAGAATCATCAGAGACAGATGTGGAAAACCAGGATGTAGGCAGAGTACTAGGTGGAGAAGAGGATGTTTTTATTAAAGAATTATATGGAAATATATTTTCATGAAAAGTCACATCCCGACTAATGTATACCCTGCCAGTGGAAGGAGCAAGACAACGATACCCTTTATAGCCCGGGGCATACCCAAGAAAGACACAATGTGTAGAACGCGGTGATAGCTTATTGTGGGAGGCAGCAATAAAATTAGGAAAACATGAGCAACCAAATACACACAAAAAATTATAGTCAGGTAGTTTATTAAAAAGTTTTTGGAATGGAGATACCCCATTCAAAACGGGAGTAGGTAAACGATTGATAATAAAAGTAGCTGTGTATAACGCATCTACCCAGAAGTGACTAGGAATAGAAGAATCAATTAATAAGGTCCTAGTCAACTCGAGTAAATGTTTATATTTTCGTTCAGCTACCCCATTTTGAGCAGGAGTATGAGGACAAGATTTTCTAAATAAAATGCCTGAATTTAAAAAATGCGTATTAAACAAAGAATTATCAAATTCACCCCCACCGTCACTCTGAAAAATTTTGATCTTTGTATTCAAAAGATTTTCAACCAGTTTTTGAAAATTAATAAAATGTGTAAAAACTTCAGATTTCCTACGCATTGGATAAACTCATGTATATCTGGAGAAATCATCAATAAATGACACATAATATTTATAACCAAGATTAGAAACAACTGGTGATTGCCAGACATCAGAATGAATAATTTCCAAAGGTTTAGAGGTATCATGAATAACATCAGTA